CTAGTCTAGCATGTTAAAGCCATATGTGCTGAGGGCTGAAATTTTATCTCATAAAACTATTTTGCTTCTAAACTTGTCATGGTAATTTTGTTTTACTTGCTACTATCCATTGCTTGAAGACAAGCAATATATTAAGTTTGGGGGTGTGATAACTCCGTAAAAGGCCATATTTTAGGATATTTTTACTTAAGTTATTGAATGTCTAAAGGCTCATTTATGACCATATAGATGCATTTAGGAGCATATAGTTGCATGTGGTAAATTTGGTTTGCTGCAACATTTTTATTTGTCTTCAGTGCTGCCTTATGGGAAAGGTGTTTGTCTAATGACGTGTAGGAATTGAGAGAAAGGAAAATAGAAAAGGAAATGTCGTGACATAAGGAGATTGCTGAGCTAAATAAAAATACCAAGTTTGACTGGCATTTCGAAAGCGCACAAGGTGAAATAAGATATTTCCCAGCCAGCTGTCCCCGACTCTCAGTGTCCTCTGTCCAAGAAATCCACATCGAGGATCGCCTGGAAGAGTTAGCGCTGCAACAGCCGACCCTGCTGACTGCGCCGCTGCTCTGCATATTCTGTCTGTCATTGGGCTGCTGCAGCAGGATCATGTCTTGTACTCAGCCAGGCACACAGGCTGGACCACTGCCCGATCCTCATGTGAATCAAGCATAGTATGGGGTATCCTAGGAATTTTAACACCAATTCCTAGGGTTTTGCTCCCCTTATAAATAGAGGATGAAGCTACAATGAAGAAGACTTTGGTTCCACGCCGTTTTGAGCTAAAATAGAGAGAGAGAAATGCCTCTCCTTTTCTCAATAAATCCTAGTTGCCGTGGTATTTCTCCGTGACAAGCTTGAGGGAGTGGCGTTCTAGGTATCCGAGAGAGCTAGTTCGCTGGGGGCAGTTCGTGGTGGCCGAGGGAAGCTCCGGCAGTGCATGTCGAAGGCTTTTTCTCATTCCTTAGTTATTGCTTTCATATTTTGTTATTTGGGTTGTAAGAAACGAATGAAACTTGCTTTATGCTTGTTTATTTCGAACCCCACCATGAACTAATCCTATTTGGTGAGAGTTCGCTTGGATGTTTAAGTTTTATTTCAATGAATGGTTATTTTATATGCTTTAATCTGTTTTGTTTATGAAACTTAATGCCTTAAGGTTGTAGGAGCTATGAGAGTAGCCTTTCCTTAGAAGGTCTTGAGGGTTCGAGAGAATACCTTGGCAAAATATCATTAGTATTCGAGAGAAACTAGGGAGGAACTATATAAACAAGGGGTTCTAGATAGTAACTAGGCCTAATCCACCTTAGAGATAAGGATAGATTTCATTCGACTAAAAGTAGTTGTGCAAGAACGATAGGTTAGATGTTAATACTACCGCAAAAAGGTATTGCCGAGACATATCATGTTATCTAGACCAATAGGATCACTGCAGGGGTTTACGCTAATCGGTTTTGCCAGGGCATCTTTAATCTGTCAATCCCCTTACTAGAGATAGCATAGGGCATCTTAGTAGACTCTGTCGGACAGACTAGGCATAGAAGAAAGACCATTCGGAGAAGTAGACTTAGATTTTCTTAGTGACTCCTATCACTCACTTCCATAGTAGCTTGTCGTGTGAGAAAGACAAAGTCCTATTAATCAACTCGTATATTTACATTTCATCTTGCCTTGACATTTTCATCTGTTTGCACTAAACACAATCCATTTTGCCATGACATATCCATTTGCTACCACATCATCATCGTTTCATTTCCACATCAGTCATTTCATTTTGCCACAACATTATCATTTGTATATATCATCACTAACTTTACTTAAGGTGACAGAGTAAAGTGCATTGACAAACTTATTTGATTTCCCCCAATCTTGTGGAGACGATACTCACTTATCACTATATTACTTGTTCGATTGTGTATACTTGCACATATATCCACACTCATTTATATACTCATACCGAGCAGACAATAATCAATTGGGTTAATAATTAAAGCATACACCTTAGGTTTAATTTCATCTTAGTCCTTTACTTGGGGATGATTCGATTTGAGTTTCCGCAAGAAAATGTCTGATTGCTCAAATCAATTGTCCAATTCAATAATTGGTTGATAAAATCAGCTAAGGTTAATATTAGAGACTCATTTTAGGTTTAGTCCTCTAGATTCTTTAATTACATAATTTGACAACTTTTGGTAGGAAATCCCTTAAATTACTCATCTATTAAAATTAGGCTTTTAAATCGATTGTTTGATTATATATTTTTTTAAAAAAAAACCCTAAGACAATGTTTACTTATTAGGAGTCAATGGTATATCTCCCGCAAATATGCTAAGGGTGACTACTGGTGATTCTCGAAGTAGTCGACATTTTTTTCAAGACATCATCATGATTTCTTAAAATCAAGGCAATGTCCGGTTATTAGGCATAATAGTTGATCTCCCGCATTCATGCTAGGAGGCGAACATTATTGGCTTAAATAAACGAACATCATTTTCAACTGTGCATCCATAGTATTTTTTGATTAAATAAAGTTCGAACTCAAGATCTGTAATTTTTTTAAATAGAGTAATCAACTAGGTACCAATTTTTTGGCGCTTGGGGGCTGCTAATTCTTCCCTACACGTAACTGACTCCCGAACCTGATTTTTAGTTTTCGCAGACCCAAACTCAATATTTTTATAAAATAAAAATATTTTAATAAAATTACCCTATTTATAGTGTTCCAATTGCACCTTAAATGGTCGATAGCGACTCCTCACATTTCAAAATTTTTAAAGGTGTAGGGTTTTGAATATCAGAAGCACGAGTTGTTGAACACTTAATTCATACTGCATGCATGTAGTTCCCTTTTCCATAAGGTAGAAAGTTGTTTTTTTTGTCGTGTTTGTGATAATATACATAAATCAGATTAGTCATCAATTAAGGGGTTTAAAATACAAAAACTGGTTAATATAAAGTTAAAAACTATTGTAATAGGTTGGAATCAAGATTCTTTTTGAAGTCTAACTCTTTAAAGTAACCGAGTAATATTTTTGTTTAAACTGAAAATATTATATTCTTCATAATTTATCATGTAAATTGCATAACTATTTTGATTGTAATCTAAAAGTTATCATAAAAAACGCATATAACATTTTCGATTGTAAATGAAATTATTACTAATTGTGTAACTTTTTAAGGTAACATGGTAACATTTTAGATTAAAATCAATTATAATATTCTCGATTATAATCAAAATTATTATCAATTACTATATAACTTTTTAAAATAAATAAAATAAGTTAAAATCCATCGTAAATTAGTTTTAGATTTCTCTACCGCACAACATAACTATGGACAATTAAGAGTAAATAAAAACTTAGTTATAAGTTATGTAAATATCTTTGGCAAAATGGTACCTAGGCCCTCATACTTTTCAAAAAAAAAAATTAATGTGGTCCTTCACTCTTTTTTTTCACCCAATGTGGCTCTCCAAGTCCGGAAATAAATTTAATGTGGTCCTTTGACCAACGTTTTCGTCATTGACCAACAACTCTATTATTGTGTGCTTACATGACACGTTAAGCAGACAACATCCTATTTTTCTCTCAATCTGACCCTCTAACTCAAGAAAATAACTCAATGTGATCCTTGACCATCTAGTTAATGCTATTATAAATGGGAAAATTATATCATTCATCCATCAACTATCTTCTCTCTTCTATTTTGGTTACTAAACTTTAAAAAATTTCAATTTAATTACCCAACTTTTGAATTACTCATGTTTTAATCATCATGATTTATTTTATTAATATTTATGTATGATATGACATTTATTATTCTTATTTTATTAATATATGATTAAAATAATATTAATTAAATTAAAGTTTTAATTAAATTGAAACAAAAAATATTCCCAAAATTATAATTAAATTAAAAAATATTCCTTCTGCTTTATATATTTTCAAATCTCCACTATCTACCTTTATCCTTTCATTTCATTTTTCTTCCTTTTCAACCAAAGCTTATTTTCTTTTGTTAGCCGGTCAAGTAGCTCATTCCTAATTTTTTCAATTTTTTTACAAGTTCAATTTGGGTTCATTGAATTTAATAATGAAAGAAAAAAAAAAAATATTTAGTTGAAAAAATGCCACATCATACATAAATATTGATAAAATAAATCATGATGATTAAAACATGAGCAATTCAAAAGTTGAGTAATTAAATTAAAAAGTTTTAAAGTTTAGTGACCAAAATAGAAAACAAAAAATAGGAGGGTCAAATTGAGTTATTTTCTTGAGTTGGAGGCCAGATTGAGAGAAAAAAATAGGATGTTGACCTGATTAATAGGCCAAGTCAACACAAAATAACAGAACCGTTGGTCAACAACCTGAAAACGTTAGTCAAATGACCACATTGAGTTTTTTTTCCTTACTTGAAGGACCACATTAGGTGCAAAAAAAAGTGAAGGGCCACATTAGTGTTTTTTAAAGTACGAGGGCCTTAGGTATCCTTTTGCCAATATCTTTAAAAATTACATTCGAATGTCGATAACTTTTTTTAGTATTACATTTATTATTAAGATCAGAAAAAATTGGAGTAATTAATAATGAAGTCCAATGTGTTGAAATTTTCTTTTGATTTGTTAATTTGCTTATTTTGAATGGAATGGCGTGCAAGAAAGACTGAAACCCTAACTATTACAGCGAAGCACTGTGATGGCACTTGCATTTCTCTTTCGAAGACCGCTGTCTATATTTTATGCTTTGAATTTTATAGCCTCCCTCTGCTAAAAGTTTTGACACGTTTCCTCCCCCTTTTTTCTTTCTTCAGAAGCAATTTCTACGGTGTCTAAGGCTCCCAATAGAGCATTTCCATGTCAATTAAAGAAGGCGATTTCAAACCAAAATTTATATAATCTTCGTACGTCTAAAATAACCAAAATTTTAAGCTTCCGTAATTCGCGGAAGCTATCGGTTAGATACTCGAAAGGTGTGTGAAACAGATTAAAAAAAAGGCCTAAGTTGACAGAGACTATTTGTACATTAGCAAGCTATTTGAATACATGGTCCAAAAGCATGGGATGTTGCCGCTGGTGAACATTAGGATAAGTGCAACATGCATGACAATGATCATTTAATGTAAATACATAAAAGTATGTACATAACCATCCAAAATTTGCTATAGTTGGTTGGGTTTGGACTGGACTGTAGCTATACATATCATCTATTTGGAATCTAGCTCGATACAGTAAATTGTTGGTAAGAAAATACCGTCATTTTGGCATCCATATCAGGAACTTTAAAAGTCTTTTGCCTTTTTCCTCAGCTCATTGAGCTCCATCTCAATTTCGGCGTCTTGATACGGAAATGCCTTGCTTGTGCTAGTAGAACCAGTTCTTCCAGGCGGAAGCTCTCCTTTCTGTTGGTCAAAAGAAGAGGCAAAAAGAAAAAGAAAAACTTTGAGTTTGAGTTGTGACCAACTGTGGGGAATTTCTTTTCCTTCTCAAACCACTATCACTCCATAGTTGTCGAAACAGACCAGGGAAAGTAAAAACAAAATGCAAAAAAGGATTCTGAATGTTCAGTCAATTCCGAATTTTTTTTATAATTGGTCAGTTCTGAATTCAGTTCTTCACCCAATATCCAGTAATTTAATTTTAAAATACTGCTTTATGCAGGGGAAGTTATGTATATAAGAGAGACTAATACAATCATAGAGAACCCCATTTTTCGTAAAACAAGTATGAGACGCACCTGTGAGCTGCCAGAGAGTTCCCTTTTCATTTTTGCAAGATCATCATCAACAGATGTGCTCTCAAGTAATGCAAACTGCAAATGTAAGAAATGGGACCGAAAAATACATCATATTATCATAGTGTAAGGCTCCTACATATGTGCAGCAGTACATTGCAGCTTTGCATTCTTATTACAAAATTTCAGGTTGCAGACAATCCAGAATATGAAAGCCAAAATTTCTGACTAATAAAATACTAAAATTCTTATGATTTTATCTTCAAAATACAATAATAATATTACTTATCCAGAATAATATGACCTTTTTCATACCGAAAAATAAATAAATGGCTATCATATCAAATTGGCTGTCCATCTATTTTCAGTTCAGGTACCTTGCAGGAAAACCCGTTCTATATTTCCTATCCCAGGAGAAACTCAACAGAAACAATAAATCGTATGTTCCGAGTTCAAAAAGACCTACAGTTAAATTGATGTTTCCTATTTACACCATCCACAAGCCATTATGTTGTTATTGGGACAATGAAGTCCACCACCATCAATCACAAATATTATTGCATACCAACAAGAGAAAGTCAGATTTAAAGAATGCAAATAAAGGTAGAACAGTCACTACCATTCCTTCAAGATCATCGGTGGTCAACTGGCCAAGAGCTTCTGCTTCAGACTCCATAGCCATAACTGTCCCAAGAAAGAAAAAAAAAGACATGGTCGGTATGTAGTGATCAAGATTCAAGAACTTCATTTGGCAAGGAGGGATTTCCAATCATCAGGTGCATGATAAGGATATCAGAGTCGGACAATGTATTTTGAATATTCAGTTCTTTTTTAATTACATATGATTAATGCATATCCAATCCTCCAAAGACCTATATACATGAAAATAATTAAAAAAAATTAAGATACCCATGTCTGATACCCACCCAATTCTGAGTGACAGATTGTAGTTCTAAATTATATATGATTCTAATAGCACGACTTCTAGGAAAATTTTAGTTTAGAGAATGATAGTTGATTAAACAGCATTGCTTGTAGCCAATAAGGATACACTTGAATTTCAGAACTCCCCGCATCTCTCAGCAATATAGATATTTTTTTAACTTGAAAAGCTTCTTCACCCTCAGCGTCCAAATCTTGACTGGTAATTGCTCCATTGTTTGGGGTAATCTTGTTACATGAAGAAGCAAAAAGCAGTTTGTAGTTTCAAGAGGCAGTGTGGAGGCTGAATTTCGAGCTCTTACCCGAGTTATTTGAAGGAATATGGTTTTAGAGACATCAAAGAATTAAAGGTTGATTTTAAGGGTTATTTCAAGGTAAAAGTGACGATCAATCAGGCCAGAAGCATTGTGAAAACTGTTCACCATAACAGAATAAAACATGTTGAGATTGACGTACACTTTATTTCATAGAAAGTCAACAATAGGACTGTTGAATTGAGCTACATTCATACTCAAATGCAGCTTGCGAACATTTTTACTAAAGCCCTTCCAAAAGCCAACCGTGATGGATTCAAGTCCAAGCAGGGTTTATATAACATATACACCAAGTAATTAGGAATTTAATTTCACTCGGAAGTTTAATTTGTTTTAGGAGATAAAGTTTAATTTTTTTAGGAGATAAAGTTTAATTTATTTATAATTTATCTATATTATACGAATTAGGATTAAGTTTCTTAGGAGAAAAGAAACCTAGTAGGGCTCTTAACTTGTAATCTATAGCCTATAAAAATAGGCTACGCCTTTTGATTTTCAACGAGAAATTCAATTACAAAATTTCTGTTCTTCTTTCAATTTCTTCCTTTTTGTTCTTTCGATTTCTCACACTTCCAGTCTAGTCAAAATGAAATCTCGTTAATCCTGAAGCATAAATCAATGCAATTCTCACTTACAACAAAAAGCTTGCAACCTAAGATTCACTCACCTTTCTCTTCCATCTTCTCAAAAGCTGCTAATGCACTGCCAGTGTTGACATCTCCCACCATCTCATTGACTTTAGTTGCAGTTCTGAAGCAACATCAAACTGAGCATGACCAGAAAGTTCAATTTAAAAAACACACTGAAATAGGTAGCAATGGGAATATTGGAAATCACCTTGCAGACTGAGCACGAGCTTTCAAAGTATCTTTCTTCGACTTTGCTTCTTGTATTTTGCTCTCCAAAAGCTATACAACAAAGAATTCAGGGAACGCAACCACAACAAACAAACCCGTCAATGTACAACTAATAACAAGGTAAAAATAATTGTATAGAAAATTCTCTTATCATATGTATTATTTATTTATTATGTGTTTCATTAAATTTATTTTCATCAAAATCATGTCATAATTATAAGGAAAAATGTCTCAGTCTAACAAAATGACCTACAAAGTATGCTAAAAGGCATGCAAAGCAAGATAGGGAGGATAATTCTAAAGCTAGTTGACATCCTGCAAGTTCCCAACAGGCCAACACATTGCTGAGATGAAGCACCACTGTTAATTCGGCCACTTAAGAAGGCAACTAAAACTGCTCCATTTCTATTCAGAATGATTTATTGCCTCTAACTAACGGATCATATATAGCAAGAAGTTCAGTTCCATCTCCAAACCAGGTTCTTAATTAAACAATAATTCAGAACACCAAGATCAACAAAGTACTAGTACAACATTCTTTCCTCTTCCGTAGCCTTTTTATTAGAAACAGATCTTAACCTTCAGATGCTTGTGTCTCACACATATCCAAAACATAAATAATCATATATTTCAATTCGTGCCAAACATGAAACAAAGCGTACCTAAGTCAATATATGACACGGTTAAAATCCCAACCAAATTATCTAAGTAGATAATATTTCAATCAAATTAATAGTCAAAAAGTTAAATAGAAACAAGTTTCAAAAAATAAAGTTAAACAGAAACCTACTCGTGTGTTAGAGACAAGATTATCAACAACACTTTTTTGTTGATCAAGCTGAGCTTTCAATGAATTAGCATTATCCTGCAACAAAATGGAAAAATGGCAATTCATCAATTATTCAGTCAGAATGAAAATATCCACTTTATGAACTATGAATTGTAATAGGTTCTAAAACCAGAGAAAAAAAGGTCACTTTGAATCCATAGAAAATTACATGAACCAGTTACACAGGCTTAGTCTCTTTAGCCAATAAATCAGACCATCATGCCCACTGGTCATTTTGTAATTTTTTTGCTAGAAGAAGCCTAGTTTGAGAAACATTAGGAAATGGATAGGAGACATAGAGGAACCAAATCCCACTCCAAAACCTCGAATCTCAAGCTTTTAATAATCCCAATGCAAACCTAACAAAAATTGAAATAGCATAAAAATATTTGAATCCTAAAATACCTTACAAATCAAAGATTAGAATTTGAACCACAAGATATGCCAAAGTAATTGAAAATGTCCCAAATGCCGTTATTTCTTCAATTAGCCTTTTTTTCACCCATCAACTCGTCTTCTCTTTTCTTTATTCCTTCGCTATCTCCATATAAACTCAGCATCCTTTTGAAGTCTTCCTCTACTTTTCCATGAGCAAAAGTACTAGAACCATAACATCCCAAACCCAACAAATCTGATCAGATTTTCTTTGTTGCCTACCCAAACCAAACTCTCATTACATAGATTTAGTAAAATCTAAAAATATAGTCACCCCAATCAATGGCTAAACTATGCTAAATTTGTTAATTTAACTTTCTGGCTTCCTCAATCCTTTAAAAAGCCACAAAATAGTTCAGGGAAAGACTTGACTAGGGAAATTTTATTACTTGCATATCAAACTTTATGTGTCCTGTAATCTTGTGAAATCAAATATTTGGAAGAAGGGTTGACTAATGTTTTTTTACAATTTTTGAGAGTAAGAAATTGTACATATGGAATGATTTTATTTGAGTCCTCAGAGAAACTCTATTTTTAGCATGAAGTCATCTTACAGCAAAAGATTTGCGCCGCTTGAGGGCTTCACGTGCAAGATCCTCTTCTCCTTTCTGCAGAGCCAACTGCGCTTTGCGGTACCTATATGAAATCAAAACTTAACCGGGACATTTAAATACCAGCATATTTCAGTCTAAAGACAAAAACCCCTTAATCAATTACCACTCTTCAGAAGCCTGTTGTGCAGCATTGCACTTGTTTTCCAACCGCTTTTGAGACGCTAATACCTTCAGAAAGAGAGAAGAAGAAAGATCACATGTATAGTAGGAAGAAAATTACACTGAAACTGCAGAATAACAGATCAAATAGGATTCTAAGACCATATAGGCATCCACAGTTGAGTACATATGCTATGCAATTATGAATAGAAGTGAATAAAAGAAAACAAAAAACAGTGAAAAGGAAGAAGATAAAAAGGAAATGAGAACAAAAAGAAAAGAACCAAAAGAAAACTTTAAAATGAAACACAAGATGTAAAAAAATATGAGGCTTACTTGTGCAGTGGCCTGTCTCATCTTCACTAAGTCATCATTCATTTCAAGCACAGCTTGATCTAAAATTTTCTCAGGGTCTTCAACGGAACTTAAGATTGAATTTGCATATGACTGCCATTATCAGAGAAATAAGTGAGTTACTGATATAACACACCAAAAGTTGGAATTAGAAGCCATGATACCATTACATGAATTATATATAAACAGTTCCTAAACTCTGACCTTAACAACTCTAGCAAACCGATCAAAAAGGTTCATGCGCGTACCAAGAGCACCTCCACCTTGTCTATGACAAGGAGATCTTCCCGGAAGGATCCTTATGCTTGTAACTTTTAGGTCAGCCACTATTTTACAAAATAAAAAATATATATTAAAGGATAGATTGAATTTATTATAAATGTTTGCATTTAGCTCTGTTTAGATGATGTTAGACGGTCCTTTGAATTTAGTATTGACATGTACAAGAATGAGAAAATGTTGTTTTTCACAGGAGTTTCAATCTTACCTTACACTCCCAATCATCAGCCAGAATGTGAATAAAACAGTCAAATCAATAGAAAATGGGAGGAAGAAAATAGGCCGAAAAGATGGTGGCTAGCATGACTACCAATTCAAAATTTCATTACCCAAGCCAAGCAAGCTTATTGCAGGAGAACTGACCAATTCATCAATAGTATTTTATTTTATAGAATTGATTAATCTTTTTTGAAACGTAAATCATTCAACTGCTGTTTTTCAGTAAACCGTTTATGCTTTAATATATTAATGTCTTCAAGAACGCATTTGATTCACCAAATAACTAAGCTTTACCTTTGCGCACAGAATATACAAATGTGATTATCAATACAACCAGTTCAGCTTCAAAAGTTTTTTTTTTTTTGTATTCCATTTGAGCAAAGTTAGCAGGCTAGTCAATATACTTATCAAATACACATTCATTGGCAACTCTTTTTTATCAAATCAGGCAAAGACACAATTGCTCTAGATTTACTGTAACAATCAAAGCTCAATTCTTTAGGGGAAAAGGAATAAATTCGATATATCCCATCACAATAAACAATTTAGTTCCAAATTCCAATATTAATCTTACTCCAAAGGCAAGTAAAAGAGGAAAAAAGAAAACACTTCATAACCATATTAAAAATAAAAAAGATAAAATACCAATAAAAATTGAAAGAAAGAAGAAGGCAAAGGAAGAGTACCTCCGCCATTGAAAAAGGAAGAAGTGAGTGGTTTCTTAACTAAAGAGAGGCCGCTACTACTCCCAGAGCTTGAAGATGAAGCAGTGGGTTTCAAAGGATTGATAAATCCTGTAATTATGTGAGACTTTACAGACATCGTAGGATTGACGGAAAGAAAAATTGAAATCTTTATCGCTGTGAGAAAATAAGAAAATATTGTATTTAATAGAAATGGAAGAGATGATGAATGCAATCGCTCTCTGGAGAACATGCGTTTTTATCTCTTTTTATTTGTGTGAATTGTGTTTGATTTTGGTTTGGGTAAAATGTACTGGTAGTCCCTTTTGTTCTGTTTGCTTTTCGTCACCAATTTTGAAGAAGTTGCATTACAAGTTACAACCACTTATGTTATTGATTTATTGTATTTTAGTCATTGAGTCGTTAATGATATGATATGTTAGTTTAAAAGGTTAATTTTGAATTTAACTCTTAAAATTTAAATAAAATGTCAATTCAGTTCTTAATTGTTCATAATATAAAAATATTTTTATTTTGCTAACGACGATAACACCGATACAAGGCTCCGTTGGCCAAATATTGTAGGCGAAAAAAATTTAAAACTGAGATTGCCTGAAAATTATTGGTAAAAATGCATCAGAGGTCATTGTACTTTAAAAAAATCAATGTGGCCATTGTATTAGTTTTTCTCTATATTTGACCCTCCAACTCAAAAAATAAACTCAATGTGGTTCTTTGACCAACGTTTTTTTGTCATTGATCGTTACGGTACTGATGTGGTAGTTCATTATACTGATGTGGCAGTCAATAATGATGATGTAGTAGTTCCCGGTGGTTGATAACACGACAGATGATGTGACAAATGAGTTAATTTGGTAACTCAAACATGATATATAGACTTCCACATCATGTCAGCACCGTAACAGTCAACGACGAAAAAATATTGATCAAAATATTACATTAAATTTATTTTCTGAGTTAAAAGGTTATATTAAAAGAAAAATAATACAAATGCTACATTGTTTTTGGCAGCAAGGGAAACCATGTTCAAACCAACGGGCCCAATGGTCCCACCATTTGCCATCATGAGCTCCAACAATAATTTACATAGCGATTATATTGAAACTATTTAAATAATTTAGTGATTATATTGACAAATTTAAAAGTGATAGTTATTTCGAGACCAAATTCATAGTTAAGTGGTCATTTATGTAGTTTAACCAAAATTATAAGTACCAATACAAATAAAAAAGCCAACTTCATATATCTTTGAACCAAGAAACTAAATTCATGTATATAGTTAGACCAGACAAATTTTCATGTATCAAACTGAACGTTGGAGCTAAGTTTGAGTACCTAATTAAAAAAAGTTAGATATCAAATTGAATCTTAAATAACTAAGTTAAATTGAATGAATTGATTTTTATGTGTCCAAAATTTACCACCACTTTATTTTCTAGGGATAAAGAAATTTTGTATTTAATAAACTAAAGAGTATGTCTATCAATATCGAGAAGTACTAGGCATTTTGATTGGTTGTGAGGTCACCACCTCGTGGCAACCAATGTTTGGCCAATCCCTACTTTCAATTATGCAAGATGTTCTACAACTTTCACTTTCTGTGGTGAATCCCACCATTTGCCATCACTGCATGAGCTCCAACAATAATTTGCCATCCTTGCATTAGCTTATGTATCGTTTCGATGAACCAGACATAATTTTCGAGTATTATGACAGATGCACGTCGTCGACGGACAGAAATGAGCTTCATCCGAAGGCGGAAAATTATTTGATTCAAAGCAACGTATATACCTTGTGACAACCTGCGGCGATAACAAACGGAACAACGGGAAACCATGTTCAACCCAACAGGTCCTATGATTCCACCATTTGCTATCACTGCATGAGCTCCAACAACAGGAGGACTTTCATATCTAACCAGCTTATAGGCTCCAACGTAAGGCATAAAAGTTGAAATTTTCTATGTTGACTCGAGAAATCATTGTGAAAGTCGCGGAATCGACGAACGACGCCGTGGCGGATCTACAACTGAGCAAATGACGGGTTGTGATACTATATGAAACAACTTGAAAGACAATACAGCATAGTAGAAGTTACTTTGAGCAAATGACGGGTTGAGGTTCTATATAATTAGCATCACATTACCTATTATGAATCTTATTTTCTTTTATCACTTCTATCATTTAAAAATCATCTGCATCATGCATTCTTGTCTGGCATTACATTATACATCTACGCATACTTGAATTATTCAGGTGATGGTCCTCACTATGGAGCAGTTGTTCGATTAGCAGCAGCATGCGGTGTGATTCAGAATGGTCACCTCCTCCGCTTGGTGCCTTGAAATTCAATGTCGACAGAACATATGAGGGCTTAGCAGCAGGGTGTGGGGGAGTGCTAAGATCGGTCTCGGGGGATGTCAAAGCCATTTTTTCAGGTCCTGTTGCAGGTGCTGGATCGGTTAATGCTGAAAATTTTTCCAAGAAACACCTTGGATGGGAACGAGCCTTTTCGTGGAGTCCGATTCTCAGGTGTTCCTCAATTGGATATCAAATTCGGAGCTAAGACCTTGTCGTATGGCCCTCATTTTAAATTGGTCCTTAAATTTTTAATGTTTAAATTCCATCCCTAAAGTGTGACTGTTATTCTAAACTAGTGTTCAAACTTTCAAAAATTTCAGTTTCATCCCCAAAGTATGACATTCATTCTAAATTGGTCTCCAATCTTTTTGAACATTCCAATTTCATCCCAGACTATACGTATATACTAATAACATTCCTTGTTTATAAATAGTCAGGCTAAGTTATATTATTTATTATATGTTAAAAAAAATTAGGATTGATAAAACCTAAATTTGAAAGGCTGCTACTACTCCCAGAGCTTGAAGAATAAGCAGTGGGTTTCAAAGGATTGATAAATTCTGTAATTATGTGAGACTTTACAGACATCTTAGGATTAACGGAAAGAAAATTTGAAATCTTTAATGCTTCGAGGAAATAAGAAAACAATGTATTTCTTAGGAATGGAAGAGATGATGAATGAAATCACTAAAAGAGAGCATTGCCTCCGGTAGAGAAATATTTCTAGATCTATCACTAAAAGGGAGCATTGCCTCCGGTCAAGACCTTTTTCCTTGGACCAGAGCGTCAATCCTTCAATCTGGACAGTGAGGAAATGTGTGGCAAGGGGTGGAGCAACATACTCCAAAATTAAGACGACCCGACGTTGAGATCAAGAGCAAGGATGAGGAAGGATTTATGGCTATATTTGTGGCACTATTAAAAGGATCTAGATCATTTGTTACGGAACACGAAAAACTTGTCACGAAGGGTGATGAGTTTCATAAAATATAATAAATAATCGAAACTCGTCACGAATACATGACGAGTTCTATACAATTTTCTAAATGTTTATATGACGAGTTTGATTTTTTTAATATATTTTACAAAACTCGTCACTCCCCGTATCAAGTTTTCCATGTACTATAACAATAACTTAAATCTCAAAATAATTCTCGAGCACCCTCACTTTTCAATTTTTCCCTGCTTACAATATTCCCAAAACTTAAACCTAGTACAACGAGCAGCTCTAGGAATAGTGCCAAGTTCGGGGAGTTTTGTGGGAGTACCGAGCAGGGATTTAAATAGTGGTCCACTACGGCGATTGTTATGTAGCAATAAATGTATCACTCGAAATCGTTATTGAACAACAACGATACTCATAATGACCGCAATAACACCTACTATCGCCATAATCACGATAAACATATTGCAACCGAAAATACAACCGCAATCGTAATTTAAATCTAAGATACATAGTAAAAAAACCAATCGTGTTGCTAAATGTTGTCCTTGTTTCATACCAAATGGATATCTTCGAGAATTATAACAAATGGGGAGTTTAGGTAGTGATCGGATTTTCGTTCACCAACACTTTGGCATTGTTTCGATGAACCAGACATAACCGTCTAGCATTGTAACAAATGGATATCGTTGACGGACATAAACGAGCTTCACCCGAAGGCCGAAAATATATATGATTCAAAGCAACGTATAATACATTGTGACAACCTACGACGACAACAAATGGAACAGCATGCCTTTTGGCAGCAAGGAAAACCATGTTCAACCCAACAGGCCCTATGATCCCACCATTTGCCATCACTGCATGAGCTCCAACAATAATTTACAGGAGGACTTTCGTATCTAACCAGCTTAATGGCTCAAACGTACCACATAAAAGTTGATAGTTACTATGTTGACTCCAGAAGTCATTGTGAAAGTCGCGGAATCCGCGATCGATGCAGTGACGGATCTACAACTTCGTTAAAGAATCAACTGAACAAATGACGGGTTGGGGTAGTCATAAGATGAATAAGCTCCATTGCTTGTTCTGCAATTTGGTCATCAGAGTTCTTTATTGCACAAGTAAGGCAAATAACCTCATGTTAGGAAAAATAAAATGATAAAAGAGGGTTACATTTTCCTTTTTCCTTTCTTGAAAGCCGTCCACGATTCAGGCAAGCACTCAAAAAGGGAATACAATTTATTTATAGAACTCTTCATGATCAGGTGACAACTCCTCGAATCATAATTTTTTAATTAAAAAAAATCTCATAAAATGAATTCCTAAAACTAGTACTAATTAAAAAAATATAGACTCATACTTGCATCATGAGCACAATTTTACATTACCTTCACAAATAGCGTCGTTAACCTTATAAGCATTAAAAATGAAAACTTTATACTTGCAAGCACATATAGATCATTCCATACATTGTCTATTCTTATCTTTCATGCCTAATTAGTAGGGTTGAGCAACGAAATCGAGTAAATCGAAAAACCGACACGAACCGAGTAAAACGGTACGGTTCGGTTCGGTTTTCGGGTTGGTTTAAAGTCTCAATTCTATTGATTCAGTTCGGTTCGGGTTTTCCATATGGAACCCATTTGTTCCATATTGAACCGAATAGACAATTTTTTTTAAAAAAATTATAATTTCAAGTGAATTTTTCATTGAAAAACCGATAAATCGAACCGAACAAAACCGAAAAAATCGGTTTCACATAATTCGGTTTTTTAACCATTCGGTTTCGTTTAAATTCTTAAAATCCGTTTATTTCGATTCGGTTCATTTTTTTAGTAAAAACCGAACCAAACCGAATACACCCCTACTAATTAGGGATGGAAATTGGTCGGGTTGGGTCGGATCTCCGGTCTATCTGACCCGACTATGTCATCCATCCAACTCGAATCCGACTCGAAAATTATACATCATTCATTTGACCCGAATCCGTTCCACCCTTTTGAGATAAAACCTGAATCCGACCTAAAATAATATATTTATTAAAAAAAATACTTTTATTCAATAAAAAATAAGAATTTAATTGAAAAATAATATATAGAGGGTTCTTATTGTAATTATGTCTAAATATATAAGTTAAAATTACATTTTTTAGGGTTAGGTCGGATCGGATATTTTTCATCATAAACTCAAACTCAACATGACCCGAACATAATCTCTAAAAACTCGACCCAAACCCAAAAGTTTCTTAAAAAAAAATCCAACCTAATAAGGTTGAGTAGGGTCGGAGCGCATAGAGTTCGAGTCCCGCGTCCCGCGTCCATCCCTATGCCTTATATTGCATTTAACAATTATAAATACACGAACTCATCAAATGGTTTCAATAGTAAAAAAAGAAATGTAATTCTCTTTAGAAATCTTAGATTCGAACAAATATATCTATAGGATATGTACATCATTAATTGGTTAAACTTTTTTTTTTTAATAAATTCTACCTTATTCACCCTAAACTATTAAAAAACCCAATCATAAATAATTCGACATTAATACCAACTCGACAACTTATCATTAAAGTCAAATCAATCAAACATAAATGGCATTTATTTATCAACGTACTTTTGATTATAAACAATGCACAAACTAATTAATCAAATTAAGCACGCATATTTTACAATGTATGAGTTTAAGCCTAAGAGATTTACATTGATCAGTTCCGAGTCACTTGCAATGCTCTAAATGCAATCTCGATCATTCCGTAAATACTAAATATTTGCAAAGACATTAAAAATGGAATAAACTTACATACCTCCATAAGATAATTAACTAAAATGTTTGAGGGATAATTTATCTAAACAACTTATACAGTAAATCAATAAGAAATTTTGAGGCATTAAAAGTCCTTAAACTATTATTGGTAATCATTCTAAGTCCTATTATTTTTAGTTAGAAGATTTTGCTTTGGTCAATGAGATGTTGACATGACACAAAAATTTAGATATTGTTTTGACAAAAAAAATAATACTGCTTAAAGAAAAAGGAAACATGGTTCAGGGTACTTATTTTGATCAAAAACTAATTTAGGTACTTAAAGTGATTACATTATAGTTTTAGGACTTGTTTTGATAAAAATAATAATTTAGGGGCTTAAAAATAAAAGGAGACATAGTTTAGGGCTTTGTTTTTAGTTTAATCCTAAAAGTATTATTGATCTATATATATATACACGTCTGGCAGCTCCCTTTTGTTAATTTTCTAAAACCTGAATAGTGAATACCGCGTAAAAACCAAAGTCTAACCACGTTAAAGACTTATGGATTCCGATGAATACAGGATGAATATTCCTCCAGGTTTTCAGTTCCTACCAACGGATAATGAACTGATTACATGTTATCTGTGGAAGAAGGCAAAAGGCAAGCCATTACCTTGTAACTATATCCTCGACTGTGAAATTTATGGCGACAAAGATAAGGAGCCGTGGAAGATTTTTGGTGAGGCCACGTCCGAAACCTTTTATGTATTCACCAAATTGAAGAAGAAGGGCAAGGGAAGAAGGATCGATCGAATCGCTGGTTCGGGGACTTGGAAAGGTCAAAGAACAGATCCGATTATGGATTCAAACAATAATCATATTGGGGATAAAAAACTTTTCAGTTTTCAAGTTAAAGAACGCTCTCATGATAAAGAAAACGGACATTGGATCATGACTGAGTTTTCTCTTCTAAACGACGATCAAGTAAGTTGTTTTACATGATATTGCTGTTTACGTTGTTAACAAAGATTAATGATTGTATTAGTTCTTACACTAACTCTTTTTTCTGTTTTATTAATAGGTTGATGGTCGGGTGTTATGTCGAATCTACAATAAAAAAAGGGAAATAGACCTCCTGAACATGATAAAGATGACTCAATAGACATAGTTAACTCTCTCAAAAGGACCCTCCCATCGCTTTACTATGTCGAAGATGAAATCGCAGATCCTTGGACGAGCAAGAGATTCCGCGGAAATTGTAACTACGGTAAATGTTTTAAGATTGCCACTATGCATAGCATCTACCGCCAACCATTTCGTTACATAAACAACAGCAGCATCTAGTAGGGTCAATGGGAGATGAAATTTTTCATCCTCATCATCAATACCCAATTTCCGGGGCTCAATTGTGTTGAAGACGAAACCGCAAGACCATACCAGGGTCATGGCTTGTATTGAACAAATAATGTACTGTTTTTTAGTATTAATAAATTATTTGGGCACTCTTTTCCTCCTTCCGCTATTCGGGTAAGGCTTCGGCTTGAACTGGAACTCGGATATGAAAGGGGTTTTTAACTAGGCCTAAAAAAAATTGCGTTTTAGCTTATATAAAAAATTAGAAAAGTAAGATATTAGGCTGCCCCCAACGCCAGGTTGAGGGCAGCAGCTTCCGTGGAGACTTCTAAATTATGAATTGTCTCCCGTAGGACTCGATCCCAAAGTTAAAGGTCTTGTGCTCTACCAACTGAGCTGGACAGGTGTTCCATAAACAACTTCAGTCCAGTACAAAAATTGCAATGAAAGAATGTCATACATGGATTAATGCTAATATGGTAGTAGGTACTAGGTAGAATCGACAGAGAGGCCTTGAAGGCAATGCTTTTCATCATTATGGTTATTCTATCGGCAGCTTAAAACTGGGAATGTTCTTAGGATCATCCCACTGCATATGCTGATCCAATGGCTCTGGAATAGCTAGCTAGAAACGAGTTGAGTTTCCTTGACATCATATGTTTCGGAGGACTCATAGGTAACATAAGTAAACCAGTACTCTCAAGAAACATTTTCCATCGTCAAAAGAAACAATTAACAAAACCAACAACAGATCAGAAAGTGTTGAGAATAGTACCATTAAACTGAGCATTTAAATTCTGATCTTGAATCAAACCAACAGTACCTGTGAAGTTGCAGTAGTGGAGAAATCATTCTAAATCCTGCAGAAAACTCTAAAGTATCCTTGAAAGGGATTATCAAATGTCGTGTCAAATCACTCAAGATATGGAATTGTTCAATGTAAAACTTAACGAAAATAATGGTGAGTATTTACACAAGGCTCTTTTTACGTTCAATTTCCATCTTAATGTCAATATATTTGAAAATGATAAACTTACATGTTTTTCTAAAGCCATAACCTTAAGTTTGAGAAAGAAATTACATTTTTCAAAAAGTTAATACTCCCGGATCAAGATGTCAAGACCTTCGACAAATCAGTAGATTTTACAAGCATGTTGTTAAGATATTCAGGTTATCTACAAGACCTCCAGGCATAATGTCAAGATATTTGAACATGATAAATTGATTTACAAAGTTTGCATGCTTCATTTTTCAGATGTCTCAGCGCTTCAAGAATGGAAGAACAAGTTATTCTTCACAAGTCTCACCGCTTCAAGAATGGATGAGTAGGTTATTTTTCAGAAGTATTAATGTCATAAGAATGGGGGAGCAAGTTTCTTTTCAGAAGTATTAATGTCATAAGAAAAGAGAGCAGGGGTGGATCCACAACTATGAAGGGACACCTTTTCATCTTGAAATATGAGTTTTTCTTTTGTTAGTTACTTATTTTATGATGGTGCTCACTTTGAAATTTTATTTGTGCGTACTCCGTTCAAAAATTATGTGTTACTGACGTATGTGTTTTCACCCTCAAAATATTTCTAGATCTGCCGTTAAAAGAGAGCATTGCCTCCGGTGAAGACCTTTTTCCTTGGATCAGAGCGTCAGTCTTCAATCCGGACAGTGAGGAAATGTCTGGCAAGGAGCGGAGCAAACTCCAAAACTAAGACGACCCGACGATGAGATCAAGAGCAAGGAAGAAGAAGAATTTATGGCTATATTTGTGGCAAAATTAAAAGGATTAAAATATAAAGATCTAAAACTAAGTGGCAAAATTATAAGGACAGCAACATAAATAATCTAAAAGTAAGTGGTAAAATTATACAGAAATAAACACAAAACAATGGCCAAATTGAATTGAAGTAAAATTAGACAGCCTGATCACATGGGATCAAAGTTTTTTTTTTAGAGAAAATACATAAATAATCTAAAACTACATGGAATGAGAACCAAGTTGAAATTACCAGGAAACCTTGGAGGATTGCAGCCTCTAAAGTAGAAAAACGCGTTGGCTTGTGTTAAAGCCAAAAAAACTGGTTTTTCCTTATATGTATCCCTCTCTCCAAAAAGTGAAGAGAGATCGGTCGATCATCGTCACTCGTCATCAGTATTCGTTTGGGTCCAAATGTAATAGATATTCTAATAAACGAAGGTAGTTTTTAATGAGGTCAGAAAAAATCGCGTTTAAGCTTGTATTCATTTCATAGATATTCATAAAATCTTTAATCATAACATTTTCTGGTAATATTCTAATAAACAAATTTGTTCATGAATAAAAATGAATTGATTTAACATTTTTTTAGTTGAATCGGACAATTTTATTAATGGAATAAACATACATCTCAAACCCGCTACTCATGTTTTTCTACCGGCAAAAATAACTGCAGTCCAGTAGAAAAATTGCAATGAAAACAATGCCTTTCACCATTATGGTGATTCTATGAGCAGGTTAAAACTGGGAATGTACTTGGGATCATCCCACTGCATATGCTGATCCAATGGTTCTGGACTAGCTGCAAAAGAGTCGAGTTTCCTTGACATCACATGTTTTGTAGGAGATGGTTCTTCGATCAGCATCGCAGTCATCTTGTTCGATTCTGCAGACCTTGGGGGACTCGGGGGCTGTAACATAAGTAAAACCAATATTATCAAGATAATGCATATGCTAAAACTACGAGACTGGTTTGGGGGGTTGGTTCACTGAATTGGATAGATCACCAAGTGGTTTTTTCCACCAATACCAGCTGTCCTATGTGCTTTAGAGACATTGGTCTTGCCTGATGGGAAGCATTTTCCATCATCAACTCAACTTGAGAAACAAAATAACAAAACCAACAACAGATCAGAAAGTGTTGGGAATGGTACCATTAAACTGAGCACTTAAATTCTGATCTTGAATCAAACCTGCAGCACGTGTTGCCATTTTGGAAATTTACTGATACAATCCACCGAACCAACAGTACCTGTGAGGTTCCAAACATAGGAAAATCGAATCAAAGACGCAATAGTGGAGAAATCATGCTAAATCCTGCAAAAAAAAAGAACTTAAAAAAAAAACTAAAGTTCCTTTGAAAAGGATTATAAAATGTCGTGTCAAATCACTCGAGTTATGGAATTGTCAAACGTAAAACTTAAGAATGGTGCTCATTTTACATTCAATTTCCATCTTAAAGCATCAACAGATTATAGAACAAATGCTTAAAATGAAACATGCAAGTAACATCCAAACTCAGTTTGCAAAACCCAAAAATCTTTGGGTATCTAAAACAAATGTGGTGAACAGGAAGGGACAAAAATCGAACTTCTATGATAATCAAGAGTGTAAACATGTTCATACAGTTTAAAATAATCCATGTAGTCTTCCTTTCTGTTCTAATGATGAATACATACAGTCGAGGATTTCTTTTAAGTTAGTAATTATATTTCCTCTTTGTGCTTTCCATTCACTACAAGCCCCCAAGACATCAAATCAACCCCACAAAAGTAAACCCAGAAAGGGAGAAAATAAATCTAGGATACATACAGATCATTCTTGGAATTTTTTTTTAATTTCCTTTTTCCATTCTTTTCTCAACAACCAAACAGAAATTCTTGCTTTCATGATTTATATGTAATTCTTCCATTAAAACAAACAAAATATTTCTCTTGAAAAATAACTTCATCAAGAAATTAAACACAAACGAAAGCCTGTAAAAAAGGTTAAGAGAAGAAACTCACAATGGGTTTTTGATGAGTCGATGCTTCTTGCTTTTGGATCACTGATTCAGGGCACTTTGCTTTGCTCTTTTGGATTTGTTTGGTTTTTCTTCCTTTGAAATATTTGGAAAGAGAGGAATTCCATATCTGCTTATAAGAAGCCGTTGCAACGGTAACATTTTTACTTTTACAGAAATACCCTCTTGAGGCCTACAATTAATAAGCTTCGGGTTTTTCATGGGCCAAATTCGCTTTTTGCAGAAAAATAAGATGCTTATACCGTTGTTTCGATGTTGGTATAATGATAACTTTAATCCATAATGTTTATACCGTTGTTTCGATGTTTGGTATAATGATAACTTTAATCCATAATGTTTATTATATTTTTAATTTGACCCTCCTTTTTTAGTCCACTGTTTTTTTATAAATAAGAATTCCCACCCAAGTATGGGTGTAATATATAATTCTCAACATGCTCTTCACCAGTATGGTTTATGGAGAAAGCACAATGATAGTGACAAAAAATATAGTTCCTCGGGAAAGCACAAAGTAGCGGTGTTTAAATTTGGATATCCATATTTTTTTTTTATCCGGAACGTTGAGACATTCGGTTTATAAAAATTTAACTTATGACTCGATTCATAAGTAATAGATGCTGGCTTGCCCATAAAATTCGAGTACTAATTTTCAGGTCACAAATACTTAGTTAATATCTATTTTATTTTATTTTTTAATTTATATTAAATTTTAAAAAAAATCACATAAAAATATAAAATTATAAAACTTAAGTTATAATACATAACATAAAATATAATAATAAAATTACATCTAAATTTAAAATAATTTAAAATTAAAAGAAATAATTTAAATATTAAAGTGAAATAATTTGAAGAAATAGAGATTTCGAATGTTATAGTAAAATAATTTTGAAATAAAAAAATGAAAAATCTAATTTAAAAAATAATAATGAAATAAAAAAGGAAATCAGATAGACTCCAAGCCCGAGAGAAATCTACCAAAAATAGTAAGTCGAGATCCGACCTAAAATATCATATATTTACCTCTAAAATACCCAATAAATTTTCACCGAGTCAACGAACCAAGTAATTTAAATCGGTACTTTTAAACACCCCTAACACATATCTTATATAAAAATCAGCCTTGTTCTTCTTTGCAAGATGAAGCACTTGAAATTCATGGTAAATCATCTTTAGGACAAAATTAGGATCAAATATCATAGGGTAAGGTTCTAACTTTAAAATAATATAGATCCATTATATATTCAATCTAAAAAAATTAGAGGGAAAAATCTAATATTGTTTAAATTTAAATTAATAAGAACCAAAAATATTATTATATGAAAAAAATTAAAAGGGGCCTGTTCTTTATCACATTCTTATTTATTACATTAGGTTGCTTATTTAAAGTCCTACCTATTCCGGAAGAACTCGAAGTATCTAGAATTTTATATTCTTTAATTAGCTATGATCTTATAATATGATCACTGGCAGACCAACGTAATCTATTGACAGTTGGATATATACATCTTACCGGTCTACAAATAACTATTATTACCCTACGCTTAATATTAATATTAAGTGTAATTATAAAATCCCTCAATCAAAAACGAGAACAATGTCTAAACTTTGTCCTTCTACCTCCTTGTAAGATAAAGATTTTGACACTGAACATTGATTATGATTCTTTATCAAAACTAGAAAGAGTAAACTGACTATAATCATTGTAACTCATTTATTCTTATAAATAAGTGCGTTTGATAATATTGTTTATAAGCATTTTTAACAAAAAAAATTCATTTTGATTACAAAATTAATGTCATACGGGTAAAAATCAAAAAGAAAAATAATGTGAAAACGATGATTTAAAACAACAGCAAAAGCTGAGATTTCTTTTTCATTTCCAACTTTATGTTTAAAAATAAATTTATATTTTTACTTTTATTAATGTATGATTCCGCTCATTTGTCTTTAAAAAATAATTTGAAATTCAACTTTTTTATTAGTTATAGATCTACATTTTATTTCAATAATTTAATACTAACATCTTTAAAATAATATTTTAATTACTTAAAAGTAAATATAATTTATGATTTAAATATTAAAATATTAATAGTGAGTTATTATACGTATATTTTTATTACAATCATATTTTTTTATTTGTACTTTTATATTTTATTATAGTTTAAATTGATATATTTTATATATAATAATATTTTAAAAAATTATTATATATATCTTTTTTTATTTTTGAATAGTTAAAGAATAAATATGTCATTTAATTATTTATTTTAAATTTTTAAATAAATGGTATGATTAAATATTATTTTTAAAATTCAAATATTAAAAAATATTAAAATTATTAATAAAATATTTCATATATAAAAATATTATTAATGAGTTATATGAAATTTAGGAGGTTGCTGGTTCCGCAGATAACTTGTTTCCTGCAACTAAGTGGACCATAGGGTTGGAGTGATGTGCAAAGCAGTTTGAAATGAGCAGTTTGACTCCATGCCAATAGAGAAGGCAAACTACGAGTTCAAATGCCATGCTCTCTTCAAACCTACTTGTCTACTACTTCAATGAGTGTTGGCTCATAATCACTAGGAGCCACAAAACCATGGAGACTCATAACAGTCGCAGCCACGTTCGCGAGGCCACCATCCGGAACATCACTACGGAACCTAACACCGGCTCCCAATCCCGGACCTCCTACTGCAATAGGCACTAATTCCAATTTCCAAAATATGCATCACCAAATTGACTTCCAACTCTACACCCACAGAACAAGAGAAAGATGAACTTACAGGGTGACAAGTATGAGAGGTTAGTATTTGGAGCTCCCCGTTCTTATCATATAGTTCCCCAGACTTATTCCTCTTCACCATGTCTCCGCATTGCCATGGTCCGCAGTTACCACAAATATTCCACCAACTTTCTATGGCATCAAGGATCTGCAGCCCGACAGAGTAAGAAAAGCTCAATTAAAGTTTCGAGCTAGAGTGATAGAATGAACTTTAGTCATCACACCTTGACAGCTTCATCAGCAGCCTTGCATCCACAATTGTAGCTTGGATATCCTGTATGTCCCACCATGTCACCATTGGGTATGTTCCACGTACCTGGTCGAATTGCGGCTCAAAATCGCATCTCTAGCCTTCTCAGCGATCTCCGACGCCTTCATTAGGTTGAACATTGAATGCGATGCCAATATCACTAGGAATTTCCACATATTCTTCCAATTCAGGGTTGAAATAGCCAGAGCGATTTCCATTCCAGAAGAAAGTGACATGACCAAATTTGACAGTCCACTGTTGATATAGGAACACTTCTTTGGGTAAAATAAGAAACATCTCAGTCATGTATTATAACGACATGCACTAAAAATACCTGCAGCGAAAATACGGATACCGTTATGCACCAAATATTCACCGGATGTTCTATCGATCTCGGAGGAGAAATGAGATAGTGACTTGGAAGCTTCAACTCGCCATCGTACTGAAGCATACCAGCATATCGGATTTTAGGGTATCGTACGCGATCAAATTTGTCAAAATCTTGATATTCAAGTGCCTTAGCAAGCATAACCATTCGATCTGCACGGAAGTTGAAAGTAACAACAGCATCACCATCTACGATCGGACCTACAGCTTGTTGTTTCATCAACAACAATAAAGGGAGGTAGTACTGGTCATTTGCATTTTCCCTCAGTTTCTTTACAGCTTCAACAGCATTTGTAAATTTGTGTGGGGCTTCACCCAGAACATGAGCATCCCATCTCTTTTACAACATCCCAATCATTCTGCAAAAGATCAACTCACAAAAGTGAATAAACACCTCGAGTCAAGGGCGAAAAAAGTGAAAACACCGATTTCTCACCTCATAACGGTCCATTGTGACATACATGCGGCCTCCACCAGAAGCAATCCGAGCATCAACACCTTTCTCACGTAAATTTGCAAGATCATTCTCAAGAGTCTCTACAAAGCCTACACTCAAACCATCTGAAACATCACGACGTCCGTGAGAATATGAACTCGAATTCTTTTGGCACCATGCTCACTAGCTCCCTTCAGCAACAACTGCATACATTTTGGAAATGATTTATCATGAACACTCAAAAGGTAGGAGCATGTCCTGATCACCAAAATACCTGCAATTGATCAAGCCGGGAGTGAACACCGCCATCGCTAAGTAATCCGATCAGGTGCAGAGTTCCCTTTTCAAAAGATTCACTTATATACTTAAATCCTTCTCCCTTGTAAATTTTACCAGAGGCAAGAGCAAGATCAACAAGCTTAGCCCTGCAGTTACAAATGAATATTATTCGCGTCGATTCACACGCATGCAAGCAAACACACGCAGAAAAGGCAACTAAAATGGGGAAAGGAAGCATCGGGGGCACCCTGCCAACATCATCACTTACATTATGCCATTCTTTATGAAACATATACAATGTAATAACGTCCGAATCATAATTATCCCTATCATTTTAACTTTTTTTTTCTGAAAGATACAAATTATAGCATTAACCGAAATGATGCCATCGAGAATAATAGTGAATATGCAGTCAGACTTTCGTATGTGAAATATAAAGGCCAACGACTAGCCAATCAACAAGGGTTGACTCGAGAAGCAACATTATATCATCTTTCTCCCATTAATGGAATCAAGTTGACACAATGACATAAACCATAAATAAAAATGTAATATCTAAAGTCAAAAGAATAGTACTACATATATAACGGTGTATGAACGCGAATAATATGTATTTATTGAAGTAAAATATTTTAAAAATAATTAATTAAAATTATTAGTACACCAACAATTAAATTACTATTATAACCTTGTAAATCTATATTTTTATTTTATACTTCAATTCTGCATACTTTTTCAGTTGAGTTAAATAACAACAAATTGAATAAGATACCTCAAAAATATAAAAGCATGTCGCACTCAAATTAGAATGGAAAAAGATTAAATTAGTAGATTTATTTTTAAAAATGATTTATTAAAATTTAAAATAATTATTTATTATAAAATTAATTATTATCATCGGAACTTCGTAAACCTATGTTTTTTAT